CGGAGGGCGGGAGACGGCGGGGCAGCCGCGCGGGCGGGCGGGAGGCCTCGGCAAGGATACTTGTTGCACGGTCCTCTGAATGGTGGTGTCCGGGGACTGAGACTCCTTCAGCAGCTGCAGGATTTGCTGAAGCCCTTGCTCGTCAGGTTTCCACTCATACTCCATCTTGGTTTGCTGAAAATAAAGCCAGACACAGGAAGAGACGGAGTAAATATTACTCTAGGTGCACAGGCCCGAGGGCACCCCACGCCACAACCCCCCCACGCACCGGGCACCGGGACACTTCGGACCTGCCTGCAGTGCCCCAAAGGAAGCTTCGGACTGTGAAAGCCGGCAGAACTGCTCGCAGCCGCTCGGCCGCCAACGTCTGCTGCTGCTGCCGCCGCGGCCGCTGAGCGCAAGGAGCCGACCAGACTGAGTCACGGCGAATTTGCAATCAGGCCCCAAGATCCGCTCGCAGGAGCCCCCTGGGTCCTAGTGCCACGCAGCTATAACCCAGCCCAACGCAGTCTGTACAGAAGACTACACCTAATTTAAGGGTAATCAAAAGTGTTTATCAAAATCGCTGCGAAACACCTGAAGAAATCTGACTTGGCTTATTTTAAGTAAACATGGTGATATATGGAGAAATGACGGCAATAGGGGGAAAGGCCCGATGATTTTCCCTGATAGCTCAACAATTAGTGAAAAATAAAGTTTACATTTTAATATAATATCTAAAGCATAATTATAAACTATTTCTTAAACTCCAAGTTGCACCTGCTATGGTAAACTGAAACTATGTATCAGTGACAATTTCATTAAAAGTATATGCTTAAACAAAAGCAATAAAAATTAGGCATTAGGCATGAGTTATTTATTTGGTACCGGGGATTGAACTTGGGACCTTGCGCTTGTGAGGCAGGCGGTGGAACCACTGAGCTAAATCCCCGGCCCCCAGCATGTTCTTTTTAACAGCCAAACAGTGTGACAAAAAAGAGAATTCGTAGTATTACTCTACTACATGATGGCTTTACAACTGAAGTTAGTAAAAGACCCTTCCTTGTAGAGATTTTAAAAATTTCCTGATTTACTAAACCTCTCCAGTTAGTTTTCCCTTTTAATATTTTTCCCTCTTTTCTTCGCCTTTATTTTCATTTTTTTGTGTTGTTTTGATTTTTGAGACAGGGTCCCGCTACATAGTCCAGGCTAGCCCCAAACTCACTGGAATCCTCCTGCCTCAGCCTCCTGAGTGCTAAGATTACAGGCGTGGGCCACCATGCCCACCCTTTCACATTTATTTTCTGCTCAATATCTTGTAATCTGATTTTGCTCATCACTTTCTATTGACTTCTTAACCCAATACTGTCCTTAAACAAAAAACAAACCACCAAAACTATTACTTGGACATAGTATCTGTTGACACTGTAGTATTTTTATTCCAGCCTTATTATGTGTTTTTATGTATATTTTACAATAAGGGCATTGCTGTTTCTTGCCTATGTTTCATAGTTAATGAAATACTTTAAGAAAATATAGTAATATACTATTATATTGTGATATAATTTTTATAATCTTATAATTGATAGACATGAAATTATATAAAGTATAAACAAATAGATGATTTTTTTGCAAAGTGAACATTCCTGTAAGACCAACACGGAGCTCAAGATGGACAGTATTACCCAATGCCAAGAGGTTTTGTTCCCATTTCTGAGCCATCACCCCCTCACTGTTCCCCATAAACTTTAGCAGAATTTGTATTATTATAGATTTCTCCCTTCTTCTAACTTCATAACAAGCTTAACTGAGAGAATGTTTTAACTGTTTGATGTGAATCCTACACTTTTCTGTATTCTCAATCATAAGAGTGTATATATACTGTAGTTTTTTATTTTTAGATCTTACTCCGTACTACACTAACTCTACAACTTTTTTTACATTCTAGGCCAAAGTACTGTGATTTAACACACCTTTTAATAGAGGCAAATCGGTCTTTACAATGTGGAGAGCACAATTTGTCCAAACACTTCCTGATTGGCTCCAAACCTTTTCTACTTTTTTGCCACTATGAACTACACAGCAAAAAATTGTGATTATTAGGCCAACCTAACATTTATTGCAAAATTACTTTCCAAAAAAGTTATACAATTTAGTCACCAACAAAACTGATGTTTTGTGTATTGCCACCAGTATGTTCTTTTAATTTTTGTTACGCTAATAAGTGACAATTTGATTTCCTGGGTTACCAGTGGGGGTGGTGAATCTAAGAATCTTAGCCTTAGTTCTCAACTGGAGCTTCTACTAGGCACAAAACCTACTTGCTGAGATGACGGGACAAGAGCCCACTTAACTCCTCAGCAGCCCTTCTGAATAAAACTAAAGCCAGGGGTCAGTATCAGTCAAGTCTGAAAAGCAACATCATCACATCCATCTTTTTTTTTTTTTTTTTTTTTTTCTTTTTGGTATCAGAGATCGAACTTGGGCCCTTACACTTGCAAGGCACGCAGCCAAACCTCTGAGATAAATCCCGGGCCCCACATCCATCTTAATTGAAGATGGCTGTACCTTAATAGAAGGTCACTGCCATGCTTGTTTCTTTATTCTCTCACTCAAATGAATACATTATTTTTTGTGTCAAACAACTTAGTACTAAGAACACTACTTGATTAGACTATGTCCATCTGATAGCTGTTCCTTTGTATCTTCCTTATTATGTGTAACAAAAGGTTCTCAAAAATATTTGGTAACTGTTTGATAAGAACCTCAGACTACTTGAACTTCTATGTTACATAGTTTCTTAAATTGTGGTAAAATAAACATGCATAAGACTTGCCATTTTAATCATTTTTAGTGTACAGTTCAGCAGCATTAAGTACATTTTCACTGTTGTGCAACCATCTATCTCCACATTTCAATGGTCACTAAAATTAGGAAGAATGTAGTAGCCAGACCATTGCAGGGTTAATGAGAAAATGTATCTGTTTTGCTGAGCCTATTTCTCAGCTGTAAAATAGAAGTACACCAACTCCTTATTGGGAATGGCAGAGTATGATTGGAAAAATGGTAGTTTGAATAGTTAAACCAATGGTTTTCTACCATGGTTGTACATAGTAGAAAAAAAATAGGCAGATAAAATCTAACTTTTTTTTTAATGGCAGAGAGCTGTTCATGAAATGGTTCATCATCTTCAAGGACGGCATTCTTTCCTAGGATTAAACCTCTAACTTTATGTTCCAGCAGTTCTTCCTGCACCTCTCAGAACTCAAGGCCTTTGAATGGAGATTTCTTGCCTGAAAATGCCCTCTTTAATTAAATTGGACTGTTTTTTTGTAAACTCCTTGCACCTTTTTTTCCCCCCCATACTGAGAGTAGACCTCAGGGCCTTCCTGCTGGACTACATCACATCCCCAGTCCTTTTTATTCTGAGACAGGATCTTACAAAGTTGCCCTGCCTGGGCTCAAATTCATGATCCTCCTCCCTTGCCTCCCAAACTCCCTGCTCTTTAGAGCTACCTTCATTTATCAGATTTTCAAATATTTTAGAGTCAGCTTTGGCACTGTGATTGATATTTTTTTTTTTCTGTGACATTCTTCCAGGATCTCATTACACAGTCTTAAAGAGTTTTTTTTATTTTAAATTACAGATCTATAATTTACAGCTATTTTCATTCTGGAAGCTATCATATTGTATTATAATTATTTTCAGCTCTGTCTCAGCAATAGATCATGTGTTCCCTGAGAACCGGGTCACTCTTTTTATCCTCTTTGCCTAGCAGAGTCTGATTCAATAAATATTTGTACAATAAATACTATTGTTTTGCTATTAATTTAACTGAATAAATATTAAGTTGAGCAATTACCCATGTGCTTGGTGAGCACTGGGGAGTCAAAACAGTTCTTGTCTCCACTAAGTTCTCATTTAGTGAAGAGTCAGACAAATGTGCTGCTCATGAATGAAATACACAGTAAAGTACAATAGGAAAAGACAGAAAAGCAAATACATTCTGTCAGGAAAGAGAGAAGCATTTTCCTCCATCTGGCTCTGAACATTATTTTTCTTCTTGTTCTTCCGATTTCAATGAAATGCAAACAAATATTTCCCAAGCAAAACGGAATTTCCACCTGTAATTGAATCACTGTGTGATAAATGTTGCCACCAGTGATATGATTCCTCTAAATGGTAAATAATTTGTGCTAGAATTCCAAATGAAACAAGGTTCAATGGCCCTTCAATAACATCAGTAGTCCCCCTCGCCCAAAATTTAACATATATTACAATCCTGCCAGAAGTTCCGTGCATACATGTAAAGACAGAACTAGGCCCTTGGCTCTGAAAACTATAAACACATTTTTTTGTGACCTATGTGGTCTAGTGGAACAGTCACAAGTTACACGGGGCTGAGGAGAATTCTTCATGGTGACCTGTCTAGCACCTCTCAGTCTCACTCAGTTAATAAGAGCACCTACTGGTCACAAGGATACTCCAGAGAGAGCAGCACTGCCTCAGTAGGGAATGACTACAGCAGGGAAAGTACAAAAGACTACAAGGACATTAAGCTAACCTAGTTAGGAGCGTACAAAAGTGCTTCCTTGATGAAAGGACTCTTCATCTGATATCTAATAGTAATTACCAGAAGCAAACATGAGAAGGTGGCAGAAGCTAGCAGGACTTCATGGACCATGTTAGGAAATGTAGACTTTAAAACGATTAATCCCTCTAGGAAGGAGAAATGGGGAAAGATGTGTGTTGTGTGTGTGTGTGTGTGTGTGTGTGTGTGTGTGTGTGTGTGTGTGTGTGTGTGTGTGTGTGTGGCTACACATACCTAGCTACATACCTCGCTCTTTAAAATTCTTTTTTTTGGAAACAGGGATAGAACTTGGGACCTTATACTTGTGAGGCAGGTGGTAGCACCACCACTGAGCTAAATTCCAGCCTCTCACCTTTAAAATTCTGAGACAGAGGCTGGGGATTTAGCTCAGTGGTTCTGCTGCCTACCTCTCAAGCACAAGGACCAGAGTTCAATCTCTGGTACAAAAACAACAACAACAAAAAGAATAAAAAATTGTACATTTATTAAAAAAAAAAAAAAAAAGGCCAGGCATGGTGGCTCACGCCTGTAATTCCAGCACTTGGGAGGCTGAGGCAGGAGGATTACCGTGAGTTCAGACCAGCCTGAGCTACATAATGAATT